ATATATATATATATATATATATAAGACATCACAAATCCTATTATCATTACTGATAATCCTAACATTATCAATTACTGTACGTGGACCCACCTGTCTGTTTATTTCAGCCCCTGTGTGTAAGAGCCACAGCAGGCATTCTGGATGTCCTCCAAACGCAGCAATGTGAGCCGGGGTCTGGGCAAACCGTGTGGTCAGTGCATTCACTTCACAACCCACCTGCACCAGCCTCGTAACACACTCCAGCTGTTTTGTGACAGAGAGTACAATAAAATCAACAAATTAGTGACATGACCTTCCACCAGTGCCTGGTTTCTCCCCCTACATAGTACACACATGTGAAATCATGCTCAAAACACAAACCATCAATAATTCCAGAACAATTTAAGACATAAGGATTGAGTACTTCAGCTCAAGCTGTTGTTTATAGCAGCAGACTTCACATTGGTGAAATCGAATAGTTTAAGACAGACTGCCAATCTCTCTGACTTGCTATTTGAGGCTCATGTTTCCTGCTCTGCTGTCAGGGACCAGCAGCTGTGTTGCATTTTCAATATGGAACACCATGCGGCAACTCATTACCCTGTTCTCTGGCTCTCTTCTCCCTTCCTGACATTAAACACACTCTGGAAAAATAGACCAATTCCCTCAAACACTTTCAAGTCCTACCACCTTTGTTTGGCTGTTTGAAATTGCCTCATGGCCAAAAAATCTCTGTACAAATTGCACAATCAGCAGATGTTAAGAGCAGAAACACAGGATGTGCTCGTTGTATGCGTGTTAGGGTTGGGCCGATAGACAATGCCATTGTCCATCGCCGATGGCTGACAGACATCACGATGTTGAGCCGGCATCGTGATCTGTCCCCCCAATTAATTATATAAATGTACCTCTGATGGTTCTGACTGTCTTCAGAAACGAATCAATGGCATTTTGTTTTCATCATTGCTCCATGTAATACCTAAAGGAAGTGTTCTTAATCACAATACTGCTTTGTCCACGGAGGTTACAGGAAACAGCTCTAATTCAGCTTTTCCATAAGCGCCACCTGCTTGCGCGTGGATTTACACGTTTGCGCCACCTGCACCTGCGCGAGTGGATTTACAGAGACTTATATTTACATTCAGCCTGTGTGCAGTTTCTGTCTGGCCAAAAACGGACCGAATTTGCATGCCCTGCTGTAAATTTTGACCGGTTGATGAAAAACAAGCGTATGTGGATTCTACAGATTTAAACAATTCAGATAAGTTATCTAGAATTATTTATGGAGCAGATAAAATACATATAATCATTTATTAATCATTATCATTTTGACATATCTTTTCTTTATTTAAAGGCTGAAATGTGAGGTTTACCTTTTTATTAAACTTTTTCAAAGCTTTATTTGAACATTTACGTTAGATATTTCAACATGCTATGAAACTGTTGTCAGTCAAGTTGTCATTTAAAATACGAACATCATTGGTAATGTTATTGTTTTAGTGATTATGCAAACAAAAAGTCATTTCATTTGTTGTTTGTTGATTTTTAAACATAAAACTTGGTGAAGTGATTTATGTGTCGGTACTTTTTTAACATCTCCAGCACATTTTAACAATACCGTGATAATACTGATAACCATGATAATTTTGGTCACTATAATCGTGATAAGAAATTTTCATACCGTTACATCCCTAGTAATTATACTGTATTTAAATTGCGGCCATCAGTGAGTTGCTACTAATATGCAGGGCATTGAAACCGCTTTCGAATGCGCGCTCTCATTTTACTTTCGAGATTCGCGATCACACGGACTCTATACTACGGAGCGTCAGTACCTACCACACATTTTACAAGATTAGATATTTATCAGTGGTGCTCGGATTCTGCAAATCATTCGCCATTGTCTTATCAGTCATCTCTCCTTACTCTGTGTATGTGGTAAGTGAACTTTCATGTACTGTAACAGTTTACCGCTAGCAAGCGGCTAACCATGTCCCTTTAGTGGCTCCGTAGAACGCGTTATTTGTTTTCCAAATAACCAATTTGGTAGACATCGCCCAACCCTAATGTGTGTAAGTTTACCGCTAGCAAGCTGCTAACCATGTCCCTTTAGTGGCTCCGTAGAACGCGTTATTTGTTTTCCAAATAACCAATTTGGTAGACATCGCCCAACCCTAATGTGTGTACATGAAGTATATGCAGAATAAAACGCACAAATGTACTAAAGCGGAGTAATTTGAACCAATGACAAATGTGTTAAAGTGTGGAAAACACGCCACATTTCACAGGACCAGTTCTTTGCTCAGAGAGTTTCTCTGTAAACTTCCATTTGGAATAATGCTAAAAATAGTTACGTCACTGAAGCTTTTCCATTTTTCCATGATGAATGCCAGCATTGAGACATAATGAGGTAATGTGTTTGAAATAACATCAATAGTAACTGTTCACACAAGAGACAAAAATTCAATTTTCATCACTGAATGGGCACAAAAGTACAAACTTTCTAACTTCAACAAATCTGTCAATAATCTCACATTATGTAACATTACACAATTTAAACAATATGACCATCAAATGTGTACAATTTAACAAGCATTAAAGGGGTCATATGATGCTGCTAAAAAGAACATTATTTTGTGTATTTGGTGTAATGAAATGTGTTTATGCGGTTTAAGGTTAAAAAACACATTATTTTCCACATACTGTACATTATTGTTTCTCCTCTATGCCCCGCCTTTCTGAAACGCAGTGTTGTAAATACAACTTAACCACTGATTTCTAGTCGTGTCCTCTTTTGGAAGGCCAAACAAAGTAGTTTCGCTTTCACAACGAAAAAGCGTCACACACCACGGCCTTGAGTGAGTGGAGGCCGGATGCCTAGAGTGAGCCGGCTTAGAGTATGCGGAGGCCGGCTTACTCCGCTTCGTCCACGGTGAAAGCCGATCCGGTGATCGACAGCACGAAGTTGATGCATTTCCTCAGCGACCAGCACGGATCTCAGCTCCAGGCATGACGAAGCGGATATTGTCCACTTTTGGAAGGCCAACCAAAGTAATTTTGCTTTCACAACGAAACACACAGCGCCTTCATGACGTGGCGGCAGCAACAATACTACAGCGAGAATAAAAGTTAGCCTTCTTTCTTTGCGTGAACATTTGGGCGGCGTTATGCAAATCTTCCCACATCGTGACGTAGACGTGGGGGTGTGTTAGAACGTTTTAGGTAGGCGTGGTTGACTCTTAACTTTTATAAAGAATATCTCTTTGGATTTGAGACTTTAGTCTTTGCAACTTTACAGATCTTCTTTATGCACCAAGAGCTTGTAACACTCCAAAGAGAAAGGAAAAATTGAAATCGCATCATATGACCCCTTTTAAATTGTTAAAATGTCAAAACTTCCAACAAACTTAAGTAACACTTCCACTCTCCAGTAAAATTTGCTGATAAACTCACTGAGGTTTACATTCATTTCTAAACTAGAATATAAACGATCTAATGAAACTTTAGGCACAATGTCAAGCACTGTATAAAGGTCCAGGCTCATGTCATTTTTACAAAGTTTTTGTCTGCTTTATTACCATAAAGATGTTTTGTCAGCTGAACAATCGGTACGTTTTAAAGAACTGTACAATCCATTGGACACGCCAGTAGAGCCCGACCGATATGGGTTTTTTGGGGCCGATACCGATATTTGGGAGTAAAAAAAATCGATATATCGGCCGATATTCTTTGTGTATATTGTAGTACAGCACCAATCAAAAGTTTGGACACTTTCCCATTCGTGTGTCCAAACATTTGACTGGTACTATATATAGAATACAGTATATACATAAACAGAATATATATATATATACATAAACACATTTTTTGCAGTGATCACTCAAATGTGGTGATCAAACACTTATAATGACGTGACAAAGATATGTAATGATGGAGGCAGGGCATTTAACAATTTAACAATAAACTTTATTCAAAATGAGTCTGACATCAGTGCACTGAACAGTAAAGTTGAAGTTTATTCAACTTTAATTCAATTCAGTTCCATTCAACTTTATTCCGTTGAAGTTTATTTCAGTTTGGAACATTTATTCACGGATTTGCGCTACTATCTTCACACACAGACGGAACTTACTAGAGAAGTGTGAAGTGTGACAATTTACCTCTGTAAATAAATATAAATTCACGTCTCGCGCA